TTTTATTGTTCCTAAATCCCTGTCCTAATCCTTTAATTTTGTTCCTAATTTCTCCCCAAAATAATATAGTAAGCAAAGACGACTGCTCATAAATATACAGTGCTCCCCAAAATAATATGGTAAATGATGATTACCATTCATAAACATAAGTGCTTCTTGAAAAAAGATTGCATATTAAATAAATTCGTCTTCACTTCACCATTTTATTACTGTATGTTACTGTAAATGGAAGGAGGAAGAAAAAAGAAGAGAAAAAAAAGGAAGAAAGAGAAAGTGAGAAAAGAAGATCTATTTTGGAAAGCACTGTATATTTATGAGCAGTCGTCTATGCTTACCATAATATTTTGGTGAGCACTGTACATTTATGAAAAGTAGTCATCATTTACCATATTACTTTGGGGAGCACCGAATATTTAAGAGAAATCGTCTATGCTTACCATATTATTTTGAGGAGCACTGTATATTTAAGAGAAGTTTTCAACGCTTATTATTTTATTTTGGGGAGCACTGTATATTTTTGAGAAGTTTTCAATTATTATTATTTTATTTTGGGAAGCACTGTAGTGTATATTTTGAAAAGTAGTCGATACTTACCATTTTATTTTGGAGAGAACTGTATAATTATGAGAAGTTGTCTTCATTTACCTTTATAGCATGTATACAATTAATAACCCAAATTTAGACAAATGCTGGAAGATAGTAGCAGCATATTTTTTTGCTCCGGCCCACCGGAGCCGGGTCTATATGAAGCGGAGTAAGAATTATTCACGTAACCTCCCACCGGAGGATATTTTAAAACATGCTATTTAACATTCACGCAACCTCCCATCAGAGGATTTCTTTTAAACAACTTATCAATAGGAAAGATGGTGACTGATTTACTCTCATACCCTGAACTAACCAATTTAGTTTATTAAATTATTCAATTATTTAATCCCTATATCTGTGAAGCCTTATGGTGCAAAGCTTTAATAATATATTCTTAAATCTAGAAATATGTTCATAAATCTAGAAATATACTCTCAAATCTAGATATATATTCTCAATTCTAGATATATGTTCTCAAATCTAGAAATATAATCTCAAATCTAGATATATATTCTCAAATCTAGAAATATACTCTCAAATATAGATATATATTCTCAAATCTAGATATATGTTCTCAAATCTAGAAATATACTCTCAAATCTAGATATATATTCTCAAATCTAGATATATGTTCTCAAATCTAGAAATATATTTTCAAATCATGAAATATATTCACAAATCTAGAAATATATTCTCAAATAATGGAATTTATTCTCAAATCTAGAAACATATTTTCAAATCTAGAAATATATTTGCAAATCTAGAAATATATATATTCTCAAATCTAGAAATATGTATTCTCAAATCTAGAAATATATATTCGCAAATCTAGAAATACCTTCTTAAATCTAGAAAGGTTTTCTCAAATGAAAAAATGTATTCTCAAATCTAGAAATATATATTCCTAAATCTGCAGATATATTCTTCAATCGAGAAATATATATTCTCAAATCTTGAGATATATACTCTCAAATCTTGAAAAATATTCTCAAATCTAGAAATATATATTCTCAAATCTAGAAATATATTCTTAAAATTAGAAATAAATTCTCAAATCTAGAAATATACTCTCAAATCTAGAAAAATATTCTCAAATCTAGAAATGTATATATTCTCAAATCTAGAAAAATATTCTTAAAATTAGAAATAAATTCTCAAATCTAGAAATATATACTCTCAAATCTAGAAATATATTCTTAAAATTAGAAATAAATTCTCAAATCTAGAAATGTATTCTCAAATCTAGAAATGTATTCTCAAATCTAGATGGTGCAAAGCTTTAATATTTAAAAGTTTGATCTTTTGAGATAACAGGATTCACATTTAGAAAAATTAATGGTCTACTTATGTCTAGTTAGTTTGCTGTATAAAGGGATTGAAAGCATAATTGGTACAAATTAGATATCAGTGTTTATAATTTTTAAAGCTGATTATTTTCAATTGTGGATTCTTTTCAAAAGGGACTTACGCATTTTAATAAGAGAGAAATATATAGAAATTATCAGAATTAAATTTCTTTTCTAACTAGAATAATGACATTATTTTTTACATTATTGATCAGAAAAAGGTTCAACTTTGCATGGAGGGTCACTTATGAGCCTAAAACGAACATATATAAACTTGTCCTTGAATTAATCTAAAAATTTTAGGCCTTTATTAAAGCTACATTTATTTTTTAGATTATTTATTTCACCGTCGAAAAATCGTAAAGATAAGTTGTTATATCTACAGACTAATTCTGTTTGTATGTTCGAATATAACTCAGGAAACCCATGATAAGGGAACTAAGGAGAACCACGACTTTGTTCTAGCTTGGTTTTCAGATTTAAGCGGTAATGTTGCATCGTCTATACGCAACATCCTCNGTCGAAAAATACACCACCGATTTAAGCTCTACTTTTAAAGTGAATAAGAGCTAAATCTTAAATTAAGTCTAATTAAGACACTGGGTTCCCAGCCTAGTATAAATAAAAGTAGTAATCTCTGGTTGTCTGATCAAAACTCTCAAATCTCTTGACCGATTTGCCTCAAATTTGTGGAACTCGGGAGAACCACTGAACGTTCTTATATAGGCTTTGAGATTCTAAATTTTATTGGGTAGACTGGTATAGACTGGTTGCAAAGATATAGGAATGTGATTAGAGGTCGAGCTCTGTTATTTGACACAAAAATTAAAATCATCAATGGATAAAAATGTCTAAACCCCTATTGATTTGTATATTAAATAATTCTTCTACAACTAATAGAACAAAATTGACAAAAAATACATTTATTTTAACTCCTTTAAATCGTAATGAGTATCTCATTAAAACAAAGTTTCTACCATAGTTAGGGTGTTCAGGTAAAAGTCAAAAAATTAAATGCTCACTGGTTACAAACATTATGCACATCTCTAAATAGATTACACTCCATATATATTTTACTACATTTGTTTATACTTTGTAATGCTTAATTTCTGGAGTTGATATTGATAAGTTAAAGAGACTTTTATGCAAAAATTAAAGTGACTCACTATTTATAGAATGTTAGGTCCAATTCACAACGGTACCCATAAAAGCGTTGACTGATCAAGTATGCATTATAGATATCAATGTTTATAATTTAAAAAACTGACAATTTTCAATTCAAATGTGACTGGTGCATTTCGACTGCAGGAAACCATTTGAAAATCCTAACAAATAAACAATTTTTAACCTAGAAAAACAACA